AAATATAGACTTCATCCAGTAACTCCTTATCCAGTAACCTCTATAGCACCTATTCAGAGCTAAGAAATGATCCATTTGATAAGAAGCTGGCTGCAACTGTTCAGGCCCTCTCTGTCTTATGACCTGGTTTATATTTAAGTGTTTTCTACTCATAAAACTCTTCCCAGCTCATGAGGCCAGGCCCCTTATACGTATCATTGGTCCAATGGTGTGTCCTTGAGCACTGCCATGTTCCAGGTGAAATTTACTTTCTGGTGATCATGAAAAAGCAAGAGAGTTCCAGAGAAACATCTATTTCTGCTTTATTGACTATGCCAAAGCCTTTGACTGTGTGGATCATAATAAACTGTGGAAAATTCTTCAAGAGATGGGAATACCAGACCACCTGACCTGCCTCTTGAGAAATCTGTATGCAGGTCAGGAAGCAACAGTTTTAACTGGACATGGAACAACAAACTGGTTTCAAATAGGAAAAGAAGTACGTCAAGGCTGTATATTGTCACCCTGCTTATTTAACTTATATGCAGAGTACATCATGAAAAACGCTGGGCTGGAGGAAGCACAAGCTGGAATCAAGATTGCCGGGAGAAATATCAATAACCTCAGATATGCAGATAACACCACACTTATGGCAGAAAGTGAAGAAAAACTAAAGAGCCTCTTGATGAAAGTGAAAGAGGAGAGTAAAAAGTTGGCTTAAAGCTCAACATTCAGAAAACTAAGATCATGGCATCCGGTCCCATCACTCCATGGCAAATAGATGGGGAAACAGTGGAAACAGTGACAGACTTTATTTTTGGGGACTCCAAAATCACTGCAGATGGTGACTGCAGCCATGAAATTAAAACACGCTTACTCCTTGGAAGGAAAGTTATGACCAACCTAGATAGCATATTAAAAAGCAGAGACATTACTTTGTCAACAAAGATCTGTCTAGTCATGGCTATGGTTTTTCCAGTGGTCATGTATGGATGTGAGAGTTGGACTGTGAAGAAAGCTGAGTGCCAAAGAATTGTGCTTTTGAACTGTGGTGTTGGAGAAGACTCTTGAGAGTCCCTTGGGCTGCAAGGAGGTCCAACCAGTCCATCTTAAAGGAGATCAGTCCTGGGTGTTCATTGGAAGGACTGATGCTGAAGCTGAAACTCCAATACTTTGGCCACCTGATGTGAAGAGCTGACTCATTGGAAAAGACCCTGATGCTGGGAAAGATTGAGGGCAGGAGGAGAAGGGGATGACAGAGTATGAGATGGTCGGATGGCATCACCGACTCAATGAACATGGGTTTGGGTGGACTCCGGGAGTTGGTGATGGACAGGGAAGCCTGGTGTGCTGCGGTTCACGGGGTCACAAAGAGGTCAGACACGACTGAGTGACTGAACTGAACTGATCATGAAAAGACTCTGCCTTAAAATCAACAGCAGAATCTGGGGACTGCATTCTTGACATTAAGATGCCTAAGAGCCTATTCCTGAAGCAGTGGAAACTAGGTACTTCTAAAAACCCAGGTACAATTATTAAATATATGGCATAAATACATATAATTGCCATCCACAACCAAGATAGAGCTCACGTTCTCAGACCTTCTGCATCTTGGGAATACTCTGTTTCACTTGGGTCATGAAAAACTCTTTCTGTAAGACTGGAGCCACTGTGCTTATTTTCAGATGAAAAAGGCTCCGAAGGTCACACAATTCAGTGGTTGCGTCAGAACTAAACAGATCTGTCAATTTTGTCTGTGCTCTTTTTGCCACAATACCAAAAATAATCAGTTTTCATCCCTAACTCACACTGGCCCTCCCCTTTAATCTATTCAGCTATATTTCAGTAGAATTTTACAAATGCCCTAACTGAGTGAAAGTTGCTCAGTTGTGTCTGACTCTGTGTGACCCCATGGACTTCTTGAGGCCAGAATACTGGAGTGGGTAGCCCTTCCCTTCTCCAGCAGATCTTCCTGATCCAGGAATCGAACCGGGGTCTCCTGCATTGCAGGCGGATTCTTTACCAACTAAGCTAAGAGGGAAGCCCTAAGATAGGTTGAAATATAACAAAAACACCACACCAAAGAATATTTTAAATAAGAGGTAAATGAATATGTATATTGACCTCATGCTGTAAAGAGCTCTTTAGTTCATGACCACACCGATTATACTTTTCTGCATATATACACACAGGATACCTGTGACAGTTAGAGATAAACCTCATGGCCCTTCGTTTCTGCAGCAGAGGGGCCACACAGACAGGCTCGACAGTGTGAGTATTAGAGTCATTAAAAAAAATCGTATCAAAAGGGCAAGAACCTAAATGTTGAGAATACAAATACAGAGCTCCTGGATCCCATGGACAATCCAGCTACTCCCAGGATTGCTAAAATTATTGCTAAAATTGTCACACTCCATGTTTGCTGTTCTCTTTCCCTTGTTATCATTTATAAATAGTAGTACCAAATGCTCTGGACTAAGCCAGAGATGAGTGAGAGAAAAGCACATCATCTGATGGAGGAGCCCATTAAGAAAGTCAGTGTATGATAAAGGATCAAAAAACAACAAGAGACAGGTGGAAATAAGCATAATTTTTTCAAGAACATTTATACATCTGTTTAATTAGATTAGCTTTACAAGCATTTTGAGAGCTTTTTCATAATGAAACACTGCTTTTCAAATTACATGACTTTATAGTCTATCTGTATGTAAATCCTGAAATTCTTTGCCTGCTGTTGATAAAGGTCTGTGTTTTACAGCTGGTTAATATGTTGAATAAAAACAGCATTAGAAGCTTTTATCTTTTACCAGGATTAAACACATATAGGCCACAAATAGTTTTAAATTTTGTTTTATATAGAGTCCTGCTTGGTGACAAGTTAACAGTCCCACTAACATGAAAAGAACAGATTTTAAATGGATATTGAAGAAATGGCTATCCTGATTTCTCCATCCTTTCACAACAATCTCCAAGAAATTATAAACTTTTCCAAAAACAAACAAACAAAAAAAACCCCACAACAAAATTTAAAACCTGTCAGGCAAGCACAACCCACAGACAGTAGAATCTGACACTTTGCACAACTGCAGAGATACATATCTGAATGACACAGGGGCTCCCAGATTAAAAGGCTGTTATTGTACACCTTGACGAACAAACCTCCCACCAACATCATACAATTTCTACTCAACCTAAAAATAATAGCGCTTTTGAGTTGTGGCCTCAGGCAGTGCAGTGCACTGCAGACCAGGCTGGGGCGCGAGGGGAGAGCAGGGGCAGAGGCACTTACTGTTGAGATGTTGCATTGTACTAACATTATCTGGGACTAGGAAAGGAAGTGGAACAAAACTGCAGTGGGTGAGGAAAACCAACAATCAACTACAATTGTCTCCTGCAAGTTCTCCAAAGTGAGATCACAATACTGAATATTTAATCCCACCCTAAATCCATGCTGCCAGTTCACTAAACTTTTTTTCATGTTTTACATGAACAGTAGCAATCTTTTAATAAAAATTACTGAGCTTTCCATAGAAAAGGTCTCTAATTGAATACAAACTATACAGATGCTAAAACTGTCATAGGTTGAAATATACAGAAACATTTCTGTACACTCACATTATTTTGGCAAAGAAGATCAAGGACAGAAATAGAAAACTGAAGTGGGCAAGGTCTTACACCCATAATTCATGCAAAATACAGATACCACCTTTTGGGCTTTGCTAAACACCCTAGGAAACTGAAGTCTAAGATATCCATCCTAATTCAGATGTTAAATAACTCAAGTCTGGGAGGACTTACATGATTTTGTAGGATTCCCTCTTTTTTCTGAAAAGTAAAAAAGAAGACTCAGAAGTATCTGGTTCTTTGCTTCGTGCTTTGATCTTTAAGCTGAACATCCATCTTTCAGCACTGACGGACAGCACCGCCTCCTGGGAGTGCATCAGCAGTGGCCTGAGGAGCCACTGATGTCAAGTCTGTAATGACACCGTTCGGTCTGGAGGCACAGTCTCCCCCTGACGCTACCTAACAGGGATGAGGTTCTCATCTGCTGGCCAGACGGGCACAGAAGTAGGAAGAAAAGAGCAAAACTCAATCGACCTGACGGGAAGCAAAAGGGAAGTCTAGGAAAAGGGACAGTATGTTCTACATCTACAGGATGTACCTGAAAGCAGAAGAAAGCCCTTTATCTTGGGAACTTGATGCTGAGAAGGATAACCTCAAGTTCATTTAGTGCCAGTCACTGTAGTTTTTTTTTTTTTAATGTAACTTAAAAGATAAAACCTTTTTACTGTGTATTTTTCTTATAAAACATGAACTAAAAGTTACTGGTAGTAAATGTAAAGTAAACAGTGACAGTTTTCACTATTAACAATGTCAAAAAAAACAACAGCAGCAGTCTTTTAAGAGTTCAAATTAGTGTAAGGACTACAAAACAATCTGATTTTTCAGTTGGTGATTAAAGTGCTCCTTTTCTTATTTTAAGTAAAAACAAAATTAAGCATTAGTCACTGGCAACAATCATTTTAAGAGGCTTTTCAGGGCAAAATTTAATAGTACGAAGAGGTTTACAAAAATAGATTGATGCTATTTTGGGAAATAATACTGTAATTTTTTCTCAATTCAGTTTTGATAAATTGTACCTGATTATACAAAAATTATTTCAAATTCAAACGACTATATAAAAAAGGGAGAGATGAAATGAATTCAGCTAGATGACAGATCTGGCAAAATATAAGAATGAAAACAATTCTGCCTAGGGCACTTATTTCATGTCCAGATGTAAACACCACTTTCAGTTGATAACTTACATTCCTCCCATCACAGGTTTGGAGTCAATCATGCAGTACAGAGCCACACAGTCAAAATCTCTGTTTTGACTCAACACAAAAAAGTTGTTTCCGTTTCCTTAAACTGCCAACTGGTTGTCTATTTTTCTTTATCCCATTTATTTGTATTCACAAGTTAACAAGTAGCGTCAATAATTATTGTAGGTGAAGTGGGGTATTGCTGGATGAAAGGCTCTATAAGACGTCTTTACTGATCGAATCAGAAGGTTTATTGAGTTCAACCCTCACACCTTTTTCACCTGCAAGGTAAAAAAAAAAAAAAATTCATTCATCAAGTACCAGAGAGCTTCTGTTCCTACATCCCTCTGAGCTGCTAACAGTGTGCGCAGCATTTCAACTTGCAAACACACATCATGTGCGAGCGATCACACCCAGACTCCCAAAAGTCACCCTCAGGGTTGATTATGCTAAGTGCAGGGACTCTGGGCTAGTAAACCTTCCAAGTGGAAAACCACTCTCTACAGAGGGATAATGACTTCTGTCTCCTTTTTTTTTTTAAAAAAACAAACAGAATTACTATAAAATATTAATAGCAGTATGTTCAGCCTCACTGAAAGCACACTACTAGGCTTCTGTCACAAACAATGACTGAAAATAAACAGAAACTTGTGAATGTTCAATTTTTATAGTTTTACAGAAGGCTGATGTGGGATTATCCATGGCTGGTGACAGGACAGGGAGTCAAATCAGTAATGTGAATTGGAGCAGATTTGTGAGGTACAAAGTGGGGTTAAAGAAAAGACAGATCAGCAGTCCATCTGCTGAAAACCTCAAGCCCAACTATTTCAGGAGTGGGGGTGACTGGACACCACTTGCAGATATGGACTCTGCATGCCTGTCAGATTTACTGATTTCAGCATCTCCTTTGTGATAATTTTCTTCATATCCACATTTAACATGCGAGACCTGGATTATTCTCCAGGGCATGTACATCTAAAGAGGAAAGGATGTTACCTTTCTTCCATGGGGAGAGTGAGAAGACGACAGCCTATGACTGACAAGGATAATCACAGAAAACTCAGCTTGCTCGAACCATTTCCCCAGATTGCTTTGTCTCAAACTTGCCTCACCTTTGGGCAATTTTGATGGTTAAAGGTAACAATGAAGGTGACTTAAGAGCAGTCCTCTTCTAAATAGGGGGATTAAGAATCTGACAAAAACAATGGAAAGCACCGCCTGGCTTGGGGTCTCTTCCTTCTAGTGTACCCAGGCCCCAAATGTTTACCTGTTAGATATTTTACTTTAGCTCGCGCTCTCTCATCTGCATCAAAATACCAAACAGTTATTGCGTACCTAAAAGAAAATTTAGAACAGGGTAAGAATGATCACACTGAGAGAAAAAAAGGGAATGCTGTTGCAAAGGTCTAGTAAAACTCATCATGGCAAAACAATACCTAACTTGGAATAACATCAGGTGATACGTGGGCACAGTAACAACCCACTTATCCAAGAACCCCAATGGTCAACAGCATAACATAGAGCCAGGAGTAGCTCAAATTAACACTGCAGAGTTTGTGACTTTTTACGATTTTCTTAATACCTGCATAACCTATTTGATTATCTGTTTTGCAAGCCTATAGCAGATCAGAAACTGACACCAAGAAGGAAAGAGTGGCTGTTACAAAAAAAGTATGTTATCACTAGCGTTCCAAAAGAAAAGAAGAGCAACAGGAGGATTCCAGACCAAAGGCCTGTAGCGCATGGGAGGGTGGGCAGTCTCAGCCACATCTGAGGATGCCACTACACTCAGAACAACAAAGAATCATGACAGGCATTTATCATTTTACAACCTGGAGTCAAGAAAGTTCACTCATGTGAAGAATTTTTTAGGATTTTAATCAAAACAATTATACTATGTCTTGTTTCGTTTTTCTGAAAATTTCAGTCATTTGGAACACCTCATTTCCCAAATGAATGAAGACACTCTCTATTAAAGACCACAAAGCACTTAGTTACACCTTTTGGTACTAAAAATGCAGAAAATCTGCAAACACCACAGGGAGTGTGAAAGCATGTTAGAAAGGATCAGTTTCTTAGAAGAATGCAGCAGTCAGTAAAGTGTCCTGCAGATTCTGGCCAGTGTTCACTGGGGAAAAGCAACACTGATCAAATAATGAACCAGCAAACTGTCTGCAGTCAAGAGTCAAAGGCAGAGCAGAGGCAGAGCCTGGGAGTCTGGACAGTCAGGGAGGTTGGAAAGGGACAGAGCTGAGGTCAAGGTGTGGCCTCCCGGCTCCAGAGCTCCAGCCCCTATCCTATCACACAGGTGGCCTGGCAACGGGGAAGGTGTACAAACATTCTTCTCTATCTTTTGCACCCGCCCCAAACTCTTAGTTCCTTAGTGACCAGAGTTCAGCAATCTGGATGAGGTCCCTGCACTACCCAGAGCCTTCCCAGAAGACAGCTGTAAGCGACCACACATCACTGTTTCTCCTGCCTCATCCCCTATCTGTTTAGATTCCTCCTCCACGCATCTGTCTCTGCTCCGACTCCACAGCCTCGCCCTTTCCCCCCAGCCTTGCCGACACTGTCTGCTCCTTGTTCCTCCTCACTCCAGGCCCAGCGGCTACAGCTGGACCAACTGATTCCAACGCAAGACCACTTTCTCCCTCCTCCAAGCTCCTGGAGCAGCTCATGACTGCATGGCATCTATTCATCACCTAAAATGTTCATTCTGTCTCCACTGAGAAAGGACACAACCACATCACATTCAAGACTCAATACAAAGGAAGATCAATGAAGCAGCTTCAAGTTCAGAAACGATTTTTAAGCAGCATTCAGAGCTGAGATGGGCACTGGGGTGATGGGAGGAGAGAGGATTTAGGACAGAGTCTGTGACGTGATGGGATCCCCAGGTTCCACCCAGGAGTTCTTACAGCCTCAAGTCACACCGCTCGGCCTGCTACTCACTAGGATGCATAAGGGCTGAGGCAACACGGCTCAGAAAGAAGGAAGGAGGAAGAGGTGACCAAACCTTCACAGTCTGAACTTCATGAAATGATACAACATCACTGTCAAGAGCCAGCTCTTCTCCTTGTGTTTCTCAGGGATCTCACCAGATCTAAGCCACTTTGTAACAGTAATTCACTATCATAATGTCCCAAATCCCTTCTATAATGAAAAACAGGTATTTAAAAAGTAGAGCTTTTTTTTTTAAACAAGTATTTATTTTGCTAACAATGTCTGTAACATCTTTCATTTTAATAGCCTACACATTTTAATTAGGTCATGGTAAATGGTAAAAAAGACTTTTAAGAGTACAGTAAAAAAATAGGTTTAGAAAATGAAACCTTGTAGAAATGAGTATAAAGCAGAAAATGTGAACAACACTGTAAGCCTAACAGACACTGTCTATTAAAGCAGAAGGGTAGTTTTTTAACACACCTTTTCTCTACTTCTCTTTGCTCTATTCTTTTTTCTCTACACGTCCACTCTCTGGTGATGTCTTTTTCTACCCTGTATCCTTTTTCCATACCATCCCTCTGCCCCCCACTTCTGCTGGACCCCCTTTAACAAAGCTGCCCTTTCCCTTGTCTAGCTAGTCCTTATTCCCCACGTGAACACTCTCACGAGGTCCGAGAATGGATACTAGTGAAGAGATGCACAGACCAAGCAGACAGGCCTGAGAAGATAAGAACCCTGAGCCTCCCTGTCTCCCCTAGACAAGGAGGGGCTGCACAGAGACTTGCAGACATTTGGGACTAACTCTGAACACCCTTATAAAATCATTCAGATTAAACGTCATGAGCAAAGCCTTATGATAAAGGTAACTGAAGGACAGCAAGATACTCATTAGAAGATTCACGTTTATGCTATTAAGCCCCTCCTATCTTACTATGCTGTTTACCAATTTTTTTTTCTTAAAAGGAATACTACCTTGTAGCATATGCTGGTTGTACTTCATGAGGGTTGCGACGGTCAGACCAGAAAAACAGCAGTCTATCAAATTTGGGTTCAATGTCAGCAAACTGGGCTTTGCCTTCTGGAAAAATTCGAAGTATACCTCCACTTACCTAGGAAAGGAGCCAAATATGTAAATATGAGCAACCAAGAATGAGACAAATTTAGGGGGAAAAGACCACTTCAGTAAATCAAGTCTTAACTGAATTGTTCACATAATATCTCGATTAACAATGTCTGGAATTGAGGTTTCAAGTACAAGCAGAGATAGAAGGAAAAATTCATTCCTTGTTTTAGGGAATTTTGTAAATATTTGATGAAACAGATGAATAGTCTCTAAACTCAAAAGTCTTAAAATGACACCTAAAAGTCTGAACAACTAGTAAGCATTCCTTATTTATGTATGGTGATGACTTGCTTCACCTACTCTTAAAAATGTATCCATTTCAAATCATTCTGATGAAAATTACTACAAATGATTAACTGTGTCAAAGAACAGTTCATCTCATATTTTAAAAGTTCAACAGATAATAGAGCAGTCTTATTTAAGGAATCCAATACAGCAGGGAAAAGTGTCACTTATGGTCAGCAATAGAAACTGTAGCTTCCCAGCCTGGGCCTACATAACTGAACTCGCCCACAGAGGGCCACTACCATTTACCCCAGTAGGTGTCTGTCTCTATCGGAGACCAGAGGGACTCCCCATGCATTCTGATACTGATTGTTCTGGGACCTGCTGTTGGCCGTGGGTGCAAAGTAGGGAACCATTCAGACAGATGTCCTTGTGGTGATTATAATCTGGGTGGGAGTAAAGCAAGGTAACCCCCACCCAACTGATTAACTCTTTACCCTTGAAAAACTAAACTCCTAACAGGCAGACTCCTGAATTGAAAGGAATGTTGACACTTGATCAAGACACCATGGAGGCTGAGCCTATTCCTTAGTTCCAGCACAGTCAGAGAAGCTGTCCACCAGGCTCATAGTCAAGTGAACTAGATTCAAGCTACTTGGTGCCCTTGCCCACCATCCTCAGGTTTGAGCATTGCCCCAGGAGGTTCCCAGGACACTCGTGGACATCTGAAGGGGGTCTAGACTGTGACAGACAGCGTAGCTTCTTTTCTCCTCCCGCTTCTCTCTGTCCTTCCCTTGGAGTCAATGGGAACAGAAGTAAGTTTCAAAGCTTCTATCTTCCTCTGGGAAGCCTTCCCTGACCCCTGCGTCAGGCAGCCTTCCTGTGCGTTCCCACAGCAGTCTGCCCCGCACTTGGCATAACCAGCACTAACTGTCAGTCTGCTTGGCCTGCACCCTCCCCTGGAGCCACGCTCGGTGAGGGAGAGCTCCACTTCTGCTCAGTTTCCAGCACCCAGAACACCCTCTGGTACAGTGTACTTATTCAGAGCAAAATCTTGCAAGGAAAGTTTTCAGTTTTACATATAAAGGCACTGAAGACTTTTTTCTGCTTATGTACTAATTTAAAAACTATATATTGATGACCTTAGGTCATATAAAAATTAAAGAATCAGCCTAGAAAGAACCTAGACTCTAACAAAATGTGGAAGAGTTGATCAAACATTTCTAATTTTCTAGATATTCACAAAATGTGAAAAAAAAAGTTAAGTTTTAACTAAATTTACACCAGTTGTTTTGTGTGTTGAGTTCAAGGTGAATTAACAATTTCTCGATTCCAAACTTCGCAAGTTTTAACAAAACACAATGTTTGTTGACATACTGCCCCAAAATATACTAGCAATAAAACTTACCTCCATTTTGAACTTGCAGTATGACAGAGGAAATTCTTTCTTTTCAAAAAAACATTTTTTAACTGCTTGTCACACTTCTATAACAATATTCTTGCATTTGCTACTTGCTCTTTTAAAAAAAAAACGCATTCATGTTGGCTGTGCTGGGTCTTGGCTTTCTCCAGCTGTGGAGAGTGGGGGCTACTCTCTAGTTTGGAGCATGGGCTTCTCATGACGGCGGCTCCTCTTGCAGACTACAGGCTCTAGGGCACACGAGCTCAGTAGTTGTGGCTCCCCAGCTCCAGGGGACAGGCTCAGTGGTTGTGACACATGGGCTTAGCTGCTCCACAGCACGTGAGATCTTCCTAGACCAGGGACTGAACCTGTGTCTCCTGCATTAGCAGGTGGATTCATTACCACTGAGCCACCAGGGCCCTGTTGCTGCTGCTGCTAAGTCGTTTCAGTTGTGTCCGACTCTGTGCAACCCCATAGATGGGAGCGCACCAGGCTCATCCGTCCATCGGATTTTCCAGGCAAGAGTACTGGAGGGGGGTGCCACTGCCTTCTCCGAAAGCCCTGTTACTTGTTCTTTATTCATTTTATTGAGGCATAGTTGATTGACAATATTGTGATAGTTTCAGAGGTACAGCAAAGTGATTTGGTTATACATATATATGTATTTTCCTGTATTCTTTTTTGAAAATTATCTTCTACTATAGTTTATTATAAGATATTGGATACAGTTTCCTCTACCAACAGTAAATCCTTTTTTATCTTATATATGGTAGTGTATACCTCTTAATCTCATCCTCCCGATTTATCCCTCCCCCACCTTCCCCTTTGTTAACCATAAGTTTGTTTTCTATGTCTGAACCTATTTCTAAATATTTTGTAAATAAGTTCACTTGTAGTATTTTTAGATTGTACACATAAGTCATACATAATAGTATTTGCAATTCTCTTCTGACTTATTCTGTTTAGCATGATAATCTCTAGGACCATCCATGTTGCTGCAGATGGCATTTTCATTTTTTATGGCTGAATAATATTCCCTCATAAGGAATTCTTTATCCATTCATCTGTTGATAGATGCTTATCTTGCTTCCATGTCTTGGCTACTGCAAACAGTGTTGCTATGAACATTGGGGGTGCATGTATCTTTTTGAATTAGAGCTTTCATCTTTTTTGGACATATGCCCAAGAGTGGGATTGCTGGGTCATATGGTGGTTTTATTACTAGTTTTTTAAGGAGTCTCCACACCGTCTTCCATAGTGGCTGTATCAATTTACATTCCCACTAACAGTGTAGGAGTGTTCCCTTTTCTCCATACCCTCTCCAGCATTTATTATTTGTAGACTTTTTGATGATGGCCATTCTGACCATTTTGTGAAGTTACCTCATTGTACTTTTGATTTGCATTTCTCTAATAAATAGTTAATGTTGAGCATTCTTTCACTCGTCTATTGGCCATCTGAATGTCTTCTTTGGAGAAATGCCTATTTAGGTTTTCTGCGATTTTCTGACTGGGTTTTTGTTGTTGTTATTGAATTATATGAACTGTTTGTGTATCTGGAAATTAAGCCTTTGTCAGTCACAGTGTTTGCAAATATTTTCTCCCAGTCCATAGGTTGTATTTTTGTTTTTGTTTAAGATTGATTAGGTCATATTTATCTTTGCTTCTGTTTCTATTGCCTTGGGAGACTGACCTAAGAAGACACTGGTACAATTTATGTCGGAGAATGTCTGCCTGTGTTCTCTTCTGAAAGTTTCATGGTGTCATGCTTCATATTTAAGTCTTTAAGCCATTTTGAGGAGTGTTCTGTTATGTGTGTGTGTGTGTGTGTGTGTATAAATATATAAAAAATATAATAACTTCAAAGATTTACATACATCTCTCCAGCTTTCTTAACACCATCTGCTGAAGAGACTGTTTTTTTCTCCATTGCAAATTCTTGCCTCCTTTGTCAAAGGTTAATTGACTGTAGATGTGTGGATTTATTTCTGAGCTCTCTATTCTATTCCATGGATCCACATGTCTGTCTGCACTAATACCATGCTGCTTTGACTACTATAGATTTATAGTACTGTCTGAAGTCTGGAAGGGCTATGCCTCCAACTTTGTTCTTTTTCCTCAAGATTGCTTTGGCAATTCTATATAAATTTTAGGATTATGTGTTCTAGTTCTGTGAAAAATATCATGGGTAATTTGATAGGGATTGCATTAAATCTGAAGATTGCTTTAGGTAGTATGGCCATTTTAACTATATTAATTCTTTCAATCCAAGAGCATGGGATATCTTCCCTTTTCTTTACATTATCACTGATTTCCTTTATCAGAGTTTTATAAACCTCAGCATATAGGTTAGGTATATTTCTAGATACATATTTTTTGATGTGATCTTAAACAGGATTTTTTCTAGCTTCTCTTTTCAATATTTAATTGTTGGTGTAAAGAAATGCAATAGACTTCTGTATATCAATCTTGTACCCTGCTACCTTGCTGAATTCATTTATCAGTTCTAATAGTTTTTGTGTGGAGTCTTTAAGGTTTTATGTAAGAGTATCAAGGACAGAAGATATTCTTTAAATCAGTATGGTACAGAAAGATTACTGGATCACTAAGTTTTAGGATATGCTTTTAGAACAGGACTAAGTTTTTGCACATTTAAGACCTGGTGATTTTCATTTGTGTGTATGTGTGTGTGGCGAAGGAAGGTGTTTTAAAGGTTATTTGATTTTTAACAATTACCACGACTACACAAGTGTGTTCACTCTGTGAAAATCCACTGGGCTATAGATTATGTTCACTTTTCTATTTTCCTTCAATATATGTAAATAAAAAAGATTTTAAAGAAATCAACCAAAATTAGTTTATACAATCTCCAATGCAATCATACATGACACACTTCTAAAGTTTAAGTCTTTTAAACTTAAGTGAAACTAAGACTGATATTCAAGGGATATATTTTTGAAACAATGGAGATTAGCTGTATTGTACATTCTGACTGTACCATAGAATCTGTCAGTATTGATAAACTTCATAATCAGAGAAAGAAGTCCTGCCTCCAACAGTCCAACAACTCAATGTCAAATAACATCTCTGCAACAATGCAAAAAATAAAATGTAGGAGTTAAATAGCAAATAATTCTTAATAATCATTTATACATAATCTCCCTTAAAAGTTGTGATAGAGCAAAGAAATCTCATAAGTGTTTTGGGTATTATTTTAATAAAAGATGCTTTTGTAAAAGTTAAATTTTGGATGAATGCTTCAATATCCAAAATAAGAGAATCTACTTTTTGAGCTATATTAGTATCTGCTTCATTTTAATAAAGATCCACCCCTAATACCTTAGAGTAAAGCATATCAAAGGAGAAATGTTTAACTGTTAAACATTTTAAGTCAGTCGCACCTATGAGGAGTATGAATCTTAGTACTACTTGTGAGAAAAAAAACACCTGTAAGATAAAAAATAAATGCTCAATTAGGTGGCATACCTTGGCATCCCAGTCTTTATTAAGATAATATATACATGTCACACATCTTCCATCTCCATTTGGATTATCGACATGACGTACGTAACCTGTTCCATTGCCAGGATAGCAAGCAACCATGGCCTGTAACAACAACAATAATAAATTTAAAAGTGTAACTACGAGTAAAAAGGGAAAACAGCTTATAACATAGATCTCTGATTTTTGGCTATTCTGACTTACATTTAAATTCTTTCTCTAATAAAAAATCATGTTTGTAGATAAGCAGTAAAGACCTTCTACAATGATGTGTATAAAAAACACAGGGTACACTGGTGAACAATGCAAGGTCTGGAGAACTCTGTCTCACAGTGATGAGAAGAGCTGACATGGAAGGATCCAAGAGACCGCAGAAAGGCCTCTCTTTTGTGATCTTGATTTATGCTGATAATCAAAATCAAGTGGGCTTTGTTCTGCTCCATGGAAGATGGCCATTCTCCCTGAGCTCACCACAGAACACTTGTGCTACCATCCAATAGTCACAAACCGCCTCCAACACTGTCTCTGAGTGGAACCAATTTAGATTAATGCTGAACATTAACTCATTTAATATCAATGAGACTAAATGAAAAATTAGCATGTAATAAGCCCCTCTGTTAAGGAAACTGAGGCCCAGGAAGGTTAATGTTCTTAATGACACATGACAGGAGACCAAGTATGAATGTGGGCAATCTGGCTTCAGAACCCAAGTCACTGACACTATACTATGTTATCCATGTAACATGACACTAGTATGTTATCCATATAACACACTGCTATACTTGTGTGTGTGTTGGGGGGCAGGGGGTGGACAGTAACAAAAGACTGCTAGTTGGCTACTGCAGTTTATTTCCAGGAGAGAAAAATGAAAATCAGGTTGACTAAGGTGGTAAGGTAGGAGGTATTCTGAAGGTAGAAAACCACCAGAGTTTGCTCACGGACTGAAGTGGAGAAAAAGGAGAGTGAAGGATGATTCTGCTGTTTTCAGCCTATGTAACTGAATGAATGAGTATTTACTTAAAAAAAAAAAATAAGACAAAAACAGAAATAGTAAGTGAAAGAGTCAACACTATGCATGGGCACAAAAGGAGCTTCCCAGCAGTGGTCCCGATAAGCCAGGTATTCCAAGTAGAACAAAACTGAGACTCTATGACTGTGCTTCAGAATGAGAAGTCTGTGTCAGTCACTTCTACACCATTTCCCTTTGGGGTTCCGTGGCGGTACCTAGGGGTGACTGATGGGGAGTCCACGGAAATGCTGTTCAGTCGCTAAGTCATGTCCAAACCCCACAGGCCCATGAAATTACAAGAGGCCACACAAACAGGTCTTGCCCCAACCTTCAAGTGGGGTAGCATTTATCTGTTTCCACTGAATTCCAAGCGAGACTTTTGGAAAAGATAAAAGATGCAATAAAAGTTTTAACCAACTGTATTAATTAAATTTTACAATCCCTGAAGTAGCCCAGCTACCTCCACCTAAATGTATTATCTGAGGGGCCATTATCACTGGAGCCTTGTCTGGTGTTCCCTAGAGCCCCTTACCTCTGCTCTGGTGGCAGGGACACCACGGAGTGAAGAGAAAGGAAGGGGAAGGCAGTCAGTGCTACACAGGGCCTGCCCGCTGTCTGCTGACTCAACCTGTCTGTAGCAGCCGTAGCAAGGCAGCAGGACACTCGTACAACTGTATAAAGGGCAAGATGAGAAACCCTACCATAACCCAGCAACGCAGAAGGCCTACTGATAATCAGAGCTAAATGCAGGTGGGTATAAAATGAGTAATGCATAAGAGAGAAAGCAGCAAGAGGATCCTACTCCCAGAAGACAAGACAAGCCCTTCTGTGCCTACAACTAGAGACTCTTGAAGAGGAGAAGGGAAAACCAAGCACAGCCAGAAAGAGTGGATCATCTTGCAAAACCTGAGACCTGAAGGAGTCAAACTCCTAGAGGTTCCAGGGAAGGATAAATATTGCGGGAAACATGCAAAGATTTGGGAGGGTCGTGAATTCATTAAGTATCTGCATGGCCTAAACACGACACAGTGAAACTGCGCTGAGCAATTCATGCATGTCCTGAAACTCCTCCCCACTTGGATTCTAGAAAACATAAAAAGACATTTCTATAAAATCTCATGAAATCTAGAAGCCATTATGTTTAAAATAAGTATTCACATTTAAACAGAGTTACCCTTAGCTACAGTTTGGACTATCAAAATTTAAAGCTCCTTAAATGTTACACAGTGCTTACAGGTTTTAAATAACCTTTATGCTTTAAGTGTTAATTGGTAATTTTGTTTTCTAGGTATATTATATATATATATATATTTGTATAAAAAAGACTATTGCTATTCTTTATTTTTTTTAATATACAGGTTCTTGTTCACAATACTTTTAATAAATTCAATTTATTTTCTCTTAATCTCTTGGTAAGACAACAACTCATTCCACACCTGATTTTACCTGCTTGAGACCATTATCAGTCTAGGAGTCATTCACAGTATTAAAAAGTATTCTGAAACACCTGCCATGTCACAGTACAAGAAGGGTCAGTATGGTATGTCTGAAAGGGCTCAGCTGCAGAGAAAGAAAACACCAGGCACTTGCAAATCAACTGAGAAACTGAGCCGCGCAGGTAACAAAGAGAAAAGGAACGGAAGAAAGGAATTATTCACGTGGGATAAAGTAAAAGGACAAGGCTCTGAACTACACAAGACCTTGGCTCCACTTCGAAGGACAGGTGTGATCTGGAAAGGTAAAGTGATGAGAGAACGAACAGTATGGGCGTAGCAAACACAGGAGGCAACTCAGTCACAGTGGGGCGCTTCTACAGTGGTCTCCTTTGTCACTTAATAACCGAATAGGTAGGCAAAGTTAATTTGGCAGAAATAAGATGAAATCTTGAAAATTCAGCAGAGAAAGAAGGACATGAAAGGTAAGTAACAAGGAGCCAATGGGGTCCTAGTGTAGGGAGGGCTAAAATGAAAGCTTTGAAGAAGGCAGTTTCCCTATTCTAGGATTTATATGAAAGATTATGTAAGATAAAGGACATTGCTATGATCGGAATGTTTGCATCCCTGCATAGATTCACATGCTGAAACTCTTAAGCCCCAAAGATTTAGGAGGTGGAACCCTTGCAAGCTGCTGAGGTCATAAGCGGGGAGCCCTCATGAACGGATAAGGGCTCTTAAAAAGGGGCTCTGAGAGTAACCCTGACCCTTCCTCCCTGCAAGGACACAGCCAGAAGCGGCTATGAACCAGGAAAGGGGCTTCACCAGACCGTGGTGAGCATGGTCACTTGATCTTGAGCTGGCCAGCCTCTAGAACTGTAAGCAATACATTTCTGTGTTTATAAGCTACTCAGTCTGTGGTATTTTGCTATAGTAGCCCAGATGGATTAAGACATACCTATAAAGGATGAAATTGTTTCAAGAGGTTTACACTGTATGTAGTGGTCCTACGGATAAGGAAACTCATTGAAGTCTACCAAGTAAAACTGAACTATCTCTGGAGATTTGATGAGGACTGGAGTGATACTCCCTGGGTATTCTTCTATCCTTTCTGAGGAGTAGCAGACATGACCTCACACTCCCATGAGGGCTGGGTTGGAAGACAGTGGAAAAGGCTCGACATTTGCCTGAAAAAGAAACAATGCAATTGCCTACTCTACCATTCTGAGGTACCTTCCTAATCTGACATGTCTTTGAGACACCAATTTTAAACATTTCAGTTTTTCATTGGGAAAAGCCCATTTAAACATAAGCAAAACAATTAAATGCTATTTTTTCCCTTTTTGACATGAAAATATACATGATTGAAGATGTTCTCAGGATAAGAAAAACCATAAACTTGTTTTTTTACTCTAAGAATAAAAGGAAGGAAGAGGTTTGTGGTACCTCTCTGGAATCTGAAGACATTTATTTCTGGCATTGGAAGGCTTGTATTCAATATGAAGTTGAACAAGGAAACTTACTTTTTTCCTTCTTGAACTGAATTATTTTAAAACACTGATTCAAAGCTAAGAAAAGTAAAATGTTATGGCTAACAAAGTACTATTTTTTTACCCTGAATGTGAGGAAAAGCTTTACTATTTGAAAGTTTATTCTATTAAAATATACTGTCCCAGGTCTACAGCCCTCTGCCTTTGCAGATGCTGACAGTTAACGTTTAGTAAGCACTCACCATAAGCCAGGCGAGGATCATCTCATTCACTCCTCACAACAAATTTGTGAGGCAGGTCCAATTAATCTCTTCATTTTGGAGATTAGAAAACCGAGCTATAGTGAGAATGAAACACTTGCCAAACATCACAGCGATGCTGAGTCTGGAGGGGACACCGCCTCGCGTACGCCCTCCTCAGATCCCGTCTCCAGTAAGGCTGTGTGCAGTCTGACTGTGAGCCCAGGGGAACCAGTGGCTGGCTCCGAGGGACTTGCCAGCTGCCGTGACGGCAGGCAGGCAGGCACACCCGCGCGGGCGCGCCCAGGGTACAGTTCGCCCACGCTCTGCAGAAGATCTCCTCCAACTCTGCATTCCCGTTCTGAAGTCTCTTCCGCCTCCATTCCCACAGCACAGCGACCCACCACGATCACCGTCATTCGGGTTTACGTAACTCTAGCTCAAATATGGGAGGACACGTAACATCAAAAGAACTAGACTAAAAACAAGTTGGTATCTACTATAATCTTCTTTCTTAAACTGCAGATTTCAATTATACTTGTTTAGGTAATCTCATTTCCTAAAAGATGTAACTAAAAACTTTATAAAATTATGAATTCTGTTCACTGTATTAATTAGCCTGTTAAACAGGGGTGATGAGGAAGGACAATCCATAGGTTATTTAAAAATTTAAATCTGACTCATTTGCTAAACTTTACTGTTATAAATAACATGCAGTGTTAGTCACTCAGTTGTGTCCAACTCTTTGCAACTCCATGGCTTGTAGCTGGCCAGGCTCCTCTATCCATGGAATTTTCCAGGCAAGAATACTGTAGTGAGTTGCCATTTCCTTCTCCAGGGGATCTTCCCCACCCAGGGATTGAACCTAGGTCTCGTGCATTGCAGGCAGATTCTCAAATTCTTTACCATCTGAGCCACCAGGGAAATCCCAGTT